AACAAATAATTTCTAAAGTTATTGTTAGCGCCAGTGGACGCAGGTGATAAGGGATAAAGTGACTCAGTGCTCTTCCTGGCAGAAGGATTTTGCCAAAGCCACATGCCTGCAACAAAACACTTGACTTGTCTTCCCATAACGATATTGGCCACAAACACAGACGCGGGGATTTCGTCCAGCTTGGTCACTCCTATGCTAGAGAGCACGGGCTCACCACGACCCTCAGCTGTTCCTCCCTCCTTGGGAGACAGGGAAGGGGCTCTGGCATGGGCAGTGGTGAAAGGAAAAGGTACCAGAAGAGCAACGAAGACTTTTTGGAAAGTTGGTGTGTCCTCTGACTGCCGCGTCATGCTCAGAGTGCAGAAGATCAAATTGTCCAGCAATTTCTGAGGTGATACTTGGGTCTATCTGCCTTCCTCTTCCCTTTGGATCCAGCTGGATCTTACACAGCCTACCTGAAAAGACAATGACAATCGTTTGGCTCTGGGGAAAATGAGGTAACTTTTTTCGGAGGTGATTGCTCCTATTTGCCTGAGATGTTATAACGTTGCTCTGCCCAGGGAGAAGCATCTTTAACACCGTTGCTTCATTTGATGAATTTTTAAAGGGTTTTAGAGCAAGCTGGGGGACTTTACAGCTACTGTTCCAGTTTCCCTACCATCTGATTGCTTCATGGATTTTCTACATATTCCTGTGGTTTTTTTAGCCTGGTCTCCTAAGAAAATGAAGCTTATGCTGTTGTACTCCCCCTGTGTGCCTGTCCACCTGTGTATGTGTGTTTTCTCATACTATCAGCTTAAACCCTCTGCTCGATCTTAGCCAGATTTGTGAGAGAGGTGGAGATCATCTCGATTTCACCATCTTCCCGCGTTTCCCCACCAGCATCGTTTCTGCCCTGGTCTGTTTGACACCTGTGGGCAGCGGCCAGGGGACCGGCCAGCATCCAGCACAGGGATCTTTTAGCCCAGATGCCCTGGAACATACTGGGCAATACCCAGGATCCACCAAATTACAGCTGAACAGAGGGGGCAAACATCCGATCCTGGCCGGACACAACACCCGGACAGCACGAATGACTCTGTGCTACGTGCCTGAGGCTGTAAACCCAGGATCAGCTCTTGGGCATCGTTTTGTGCTGCACATAGGAGAGAGGCTAGCAAGAAATCTTTTCCAAATTGGTAACTACCAAGGGAGATCCAGGATCAATACAAATTGATCCTGATTCCATCTCGTTGACTGATACTTAAGTTAAACCTTCCAGTTTAATAGTTGTGTGCATTTTCAATTGCGACCAAAAGCCTTCCTTAAAAAAAATGTATCACAAGAGCTGGTGAGGAATGCAAACCGGAGTGAGCGGAGACGTGTGAGCCTCGTGTAACTGCCTTTTTTTTTTTTTTCCTGATGGCAAATTGCTTACCAACATCTTATAAATTTCACAAATGTGGTTGTGCTGAAAGGAAAGAGCTTGCTGCTGCCGGGCGTTACGGGGGATGCAACCTGCCGGTGAGCTTGGCACAGAGACGGAAACCTTGGCAAGGAACCATGATAATATTTCCATACACATGTTTATGGGTTCTTTGAGGGCTTTTTGGTTAAATGTCAATGTTTTCGTTATTCAAGGAGATTTCATTGCTCCAAAATCCCACTATGCCTGTGAAAACTGCTTTCAGTTTGCAAGTTGCTCAGTGGAAAATGCGTCTGTCTTGGCTGCTGGGAGATGGAGGGCATAGCTCCCTGCCAGCTGCCTGCTCTTGTACAAGTCTGTAAAATGGGGCAAGAGCTTGGGGTGTCTTCCTTGTTCCCATCCAGAGGGGATGGGTGCTCAGTGCTGCAAATTTCACATGCTGAAGTGGTAGGAAGCTGTCAGCACCCCGTGCTCCCGCACCAGCATCCACTGTGGACTGGCTTGCCCGGGTGTCACCACGTTGTGGGACAGATCCTGTCAGCACCAGTTCACTCATGGTTTGAGTTTAGCCAAGGTCTCAGCTGGCACTGGAAGGAGGGCCAGCCAGAGGCAAGCTTAAGGTTACTGTGTCTCTAACAATGGGTATTTTGGCTAAATCCAAAATGAGCCTGAACTGATCTGGCTGCTCTAGGACAGACCTCTTGTTCCCACACAGACATTGGGCACCTACGTATTTCCATTAAGCTTTTTACGTGTTTCAGCATAGGGTGCTTTGCTTTATGAGCTCTCTCACAGCCCACTTGCCCCTTTTTGCCATTTTCTCCCCCTGTGCAGGCTCGATTCTGACAGCAGGCTCGTATCTGCAGGGTGCTGGGCGCTCCTCTCCCTGTTTGGACATCCGGCACTGGAACTGCCAGGTCTGGTTTTGAGCATCTCTTGTTAAAAGTGGAGGCTGGCTGCTGAATTCCAGCAGCTCTGCAGGATTTCTGTTGAATAATATTGCAATTTTTTTTTTTTTTTAAAAAGTATACCTAGGTGGTAGAATTAAATCCAGGATTTCTCACTCTGGGATATCACAGGTCCCTTTTCAGTACTAAAACGCATTACAGGATCTCAGGTGGGAGCTGATTTTTAAGCACTTCAGCCCTCAGGGGAGATGCATTGTCATTTTTTTTAATGGTCGCAGAAGCAAAGGTGCCGAAAGTGATTTCAGAAATGCTTTAGTGCACTTGAATGCGTGGCTCCCCGTTACTGCGACTGGGGGTGAGCTCAGGGAGTGCAAGGGGCTGAGCTCCCTTCGCCCAGGGATGGGGCAGGTGGGTGCCAGCGCCGGTCCCCAGCACCATGGGCCCATCACTCGCTGCCTCCGCCTGGGCCACTGCAGGTCTTGGAATTAAACATCTCTTTAATTTGGTAGGGATTTGAAAAGCAGCTTAATTGCTTTTGCATTATTGAGAGAAAACATGGGTCGGTCGCTGTCCGAAGACCTTGTGGTAGGACTGGAAGCTGATGAAGATGGTGCAAAGGGCTGGATATGTCTCTCTGGCCCTGCTTGTTGGGACCCAGAGCTGTACCAAAGCTGGCGTGGCCTATGGGTCTCCCTGTGGAGAGGTAAAATTCAAGAAAAGATGGGGAGAGAAACAAGAAAGATGGGGAGAGGCTGTTCAGGAGGGCCAGTTGTGATAGGACAAGGGGTAATGGTTTTAAAATAGAGGGAGGTAGATTCAGATTGGGTATTAGGAAAAAATTTTTTACCATGAGAGTTGTAGAACACTGGAACAGGTTGCCCAGAGAGGTGGTGGATGCTCCATCCCTGGAGACGTTCAAGGCCAGGTTGGACGAGGCCCTGAGCAACCTGATCTAGTTGGAGATATCCCTGTTCCTTGCAGGGGGGTTGGACTAGATGACCTTTGAAGGTCCCTTCCAGCCCTAACCATTCTATGATTCTATGATAATTCCCGTCGTAGTGCAGAGCGATATGGCAGAGCGAGCAATATATCCGAGTGAAATACATTAATTGGCAAGTGCTGGGAAATTACAGATATGCTTAATGAAAAAGAAAACCTTGTTTACGGTGCCTAATGTGCTGCTGCAGAAACTGGCTCCCAAATAAAAATACTTAAAATTACGATTAGGATTTATTTACATAATTACTGCAAGAGAAATTCTAAGTACGTGCTAAGCAGTGCAAGAGAAACCTCATGGCTTTTCTTCTTCTCGTTCCTGTGTCTTGAGGTTACTTTGCTCTTGGTGAGTCTATTAAAGGTTTTTCTAACTCAGTGAGGCGAAAAGGCATTTGTTACAAAATTAGTGCTTATATATGTGTATATATATTTATTTCATTGACTGTGGTAAGAACATATGGCTGAGTAAGAGCCAGATCATCTTTGTAATTGCAGTGTTGGCTGGAGAACGATTCAGTAGGTGGCACTTATCTCTTTATGGCAAAGCAAGCTGGTGTCCCAGTGTGGCTGGAGTGAGGATGCCCTTGGAGTTTGTTTCCAAAGGGGCTGCATCACCCACCGGTGTGAGTGAGATCTGCCAAAGTCACCGTATAAATTTATATTAATGTCAGTTCCCAACCATATTGCCCAGCGTGTCCTGGCTGCCTTCCAGCCCCTGTGGAGACCCTGGGCCCGATCCTCAGCTGGTGTCTGGGTGGCTCTGTTGACTCTGTTGATTTATATCTGCTGGAAACGTGCAGTATAAAACGCAATAGGCCCATGTTGGGGCTGCTCTGATTGAAACCAGCCAAGGGTATGACAAATCTTCCTCTTAATATTTCAATTGACTTTGGCAAACTTGCCTCTTTCTTATGTATCCTAAATCAATGTGTAAGTGCTGCTGACAGTAATTTCCACTTTTGTCTGTGCAGATGGCTGCCCTTCACGAGGCTGCGGTGTTTATACCTGCTAAGTTTGCAAACACTTTCCTGCTACAGCCTCCCATTGAGCAGTATTTTTCCTTAGCTGTCGTATTTGTGAGATGAAAATTTTCCTTGTTGGTCCCTGCTCGAATGTGAATTTTCTTTCAGTGAGGGCCACTGAGGTCTGGAGCAGAGGCACTGGTGGGACATGCGTCTCGCTCAGCACGGATGCTCTAGGCAGGGGGAGCTTGAACCGTCGTAGGGGTCTAGAGGCTCTGGAGCGGGGTCTGAGAGCTGGTGTCCAGACCCTCACATGGCTTTGAAAGTTATGCTGCCAGATCCTATCACCTTTTAATTGCATGTCAACGTAGACCCCTATGCACTATATAATTATTATCAAATAGCAAATCTCTAGGCTGCAAGATGCAATGAAAGTGCTAGAGACTCATGTTTTCCTGCGGCATCACTGTTCTGTCTCTGCTAACTTGTTTGGCATAGAGAAGCAGCTGCTGCTTTTTTGTTTGTTTGTTCGTTTAGCACCTGTCTTAGACACTAAATAAAATCTGCAATCCATCAGTCATGCACCCACCTTCCGTGTGCGTTCCCTGGTGTAGGATGCTTTGGACCAGCTACTCTTTCATGGCAGGCTATTGCACTATGCAAATAAACCCGAGACGAATAATTAAAATGAGCCTTTCTCATCCCTTTTCTCTTGTGCCCAGGGAGAAGATGCCATTCCACCATGTAACAGCTGGCTTGTTGTACAAGGGCAACTATCTGACCCGCTCACTCTCTGCTGGCAGCGACAGCGAACAGCTAGCGAATATCTCCGTGGAGGAACTGGATGGTGAGCAATGTCCTTGCACTTTTCCGAAGGGGGCTGGGAACAGGGAAAGGCTCATTTTCACCTGCTCTGTAGCGTTGTCATGCAATAACCGGAGGTGTTCTCCCTGTGAAGCAAGGAGCAAAAGGCAGGTCAGAAGTGAGATGGCTCAGCAGATCAGAGACAGAGAAAAGGTCCTCGACCAAAGTTATGTTGAGAGCTGTAGACTGATTTTAGCCTCAGATTTTATCCTTCTGCCTAGAAATAAGACAGCTTTTTGAAAGAGCAAGGCAGCTTTTTGAAAGAGTAAGGCTGCTTTTTATGGGCAAAACTTTGCAAGAGAAAAAGTTACGCTAATATATTTTTATAAAGATGCCTTTAGCCTTTCCTGGGAACCTGCAGACCTGAATTTGTCTTCTTAGCAAGTCTTCTAATTTGCTTTGTGGCCTTTCAAAAGTGAGGTTGCTCTCTGTGTCTCAATATAACAAGATGTGTGGAGGTGGCTTGTGGCTTAAGAAGCTGGAAAGAGCTTTAAAATTCCGTTTTCCAGGTCAGTGATTGAGAGCACAGACCTGCCTCAGGCTGGCAAAGGCTATCAGGAAGGTTGTCCACATCTGCTGCCTGTGGGATCCCATAATTTCCTCTCTAGAAGTTGGTTGCTGCTAATCCCTCTGCCTCACAGACAGAGTGTGAGGCCAAGTAGACTCCCAGTCTGGTTGACGGTGGGAAGGTCTCTTTTCTCGGTGATTTGTGGCTCACCGGGGTCATTTCTAACCAAAAGTTAATATTGTTGACAGCTGGTCTTTGAGGGCTGTGAAACAAATTGAAGCTCTTGGTTTGCTTCCCAGTGGACATTTGCTACAAGCCATGATTGTAATCAACGGTCTTGATGGAGAACTTGATGAGTAAATGAGCAAAGGAATGGTGCAAGGTGGAAATGGTCCTTCCAGGCTGGAGGCATTTTGGCAAAACAGAAGGGCAACATTTCTGCCCACCCTCCCACTTTTCAGCTGTGCTTTGGTAAATCAGACCTTAGTTTTCAAGCCTTTTTGACTTGGAATCTTTGGCTTTGGTTTTGCAAGCTTATCTTTGGTAAAAATAGTGTTTTCTGAGTATTTGTGACCACTCGTCTTCTTCCCAATGAGTATGTGCTGAATGCAGTTCAGATGAAAGATGAACACGAGAAACCACTTTCAGTGTGGCTTAGCTAAGACCCTGGGAACACGAGGGCTGGGCTCTTTTCCTGGATTACAGGAGCTTTGCTTGAAGATTTGAGTTGATGAGTGTCATGGTTTGATGTGGGGGGGAGGTCTGGGTGGCAGAAGCTGCCCATCAGACCGGACTCCCATCCCCCTCGGGGCTTGAGCCAATCGGCGCCTCTGCGAATTGCCCTATTTACGTCGGACAAAGGAAGCGGAAAGGTGTGTGCCTGTGCCAGGAGCAAGGAGAGGGAAGGGGGGCGCTGCCCCCGCTCCCTGGCTCCCGGCCGGGCCTGCACCACCCGCTGAGGATGGCGGCGACGGAGTCACTTGGGAAACTCTGGGAGAGACCCGCTCCCGGGGCACCCACCGGGCCGAGTTCACCCAGAGAGGACCGAGATCTGAGAGAAACGGCCACACGGATAAGAGGTCAGTGACGATGGAACGGGACGAGGTGCCGGAGCTGAGTTTCCCCTGGAACCGGTGGTGAGACGGCGAGTGCTCCCCCTTGCAGCTAAAGGCGGTCCTCGGGGGAGCGGAGACCCACTTGCAGCCCGTGGAAAAACCACGTCGAGAAGAGATGCCAGAGCCTGAGCACGGTGCATCTAGAGCCTGTGGGATGACCCCCCCGGAGGGGGACTGGGTTCGTTAAAAGAGCTTGCTTGGCCTTAACCTTTTGTGAATCCTGGGCACAGGTCGAGGTGCGTTTAAAGTCTGTATGACGACCCACACCAGAGCGAGTGGCAACAACTCCCTAAGAATCCGACACTGTGGTAAAGCCCACACTGGAGCAATCTGATGGGGTAAGGATTGCATCCTGCGGGTAGGACTCACGCTGGAGAAGTTTGTGGATTTTCCTCGTGAGTAGAGGATGCACTGGAGCAAGGGACAATAGTGTAAGGACTCCTCCTCCTTTAAGAGAAGCAGCAGTAACAGCACAGGATGAACTGACCTGCACTCCCCCATTCCCTGCCCCCTGCGCCACTGGGGGGAAGGTAGAGCCAGGAAGAAAAGGCAAGGGGGGTGGAGAAGTGTTGTTTTAAGATCTGGCCTTGTTTTCTTTTTATCCTTTTAAATAACTGGTTTTGCTTGTCTTTATTCTTTAAGTAACTGTTAATAAATAGTTTTGCTTTAAGAAAGCTGAGCCTGTTTTGCCCGGGACTGTGGTTGGTGGGTGCTCCCTCTGTTCTTGTCTCGACCCTCAGCTCTTTTATTATATTTTAATCCTCTCCACTTTACTGGAGTAGGAGACCAGCTGCATGGAGTTTAGTTGCCAGATCAGCCTAAAACCACGACAGTGAGCAAAACAGAACTGGCACAGTTCTGTGCATCCTATAGATGGCAATTTATGTTTCAAGGTAGAGCTTAGCTGTTGTCCCTATTCAGGATGACAATGGTTGGCTGAGCAGACCATTGCTCATGAGCAATACCAGGAAGATGTTGGATGAGGTCTCACAGTTTATTTCAAATGCAGAGAACAAGGGGGTTTCTGCTGTGCCTACCCTGATGAGAGCACATCTGCTGTAACCGCCTTTGAGATTTGCAGATGACTGTCGAGAGCTGATTCAAGTGGCACAAGGGCTGCAACACACTGTCAGGGCCATCCCGTTGCACAAGGAAGGCTTGTCCTTGATTTGTTTCCCTGCTGTTTGCGTGGAAATAGTCTATGGCTGGACGTGGGAAGGAAGCCCGGTCTCCTTTCCATCCTTCCCATGTCTCCCTGCTGTCAGCCTGAGCCATGCCGGGTGGTCTGCAAGCTTCAAGAGCCATCTCGGCATCGCCTTCCCACTGCAGCTCCAGGGTGGGAGCAGCAGCTGCGGGAGGCATTGGGGCACGGCCCCATGGCCAGACCCTCCTTCCCCAAGGAGAAACCAGCACTCGAGAGGCTGTGGATCATCTCCATTAATTAACGGCAAACGAAGAGAATTAGGTATAGAGGAGCCGCCTTTTAAGAAGGCGACGGCCAAGTCGCCATTAATGCGAGTGCTGCGTCCGTTCGACGTGGTCGGTGCTCCGTTGTAGCTGTGCTGTTGAATTGGAGAGCAGCAGAGTTCATTCATCTCTGTGCACAAAGAGTATCCCCCTCGCTCTTGAGGAGGACGGTTGGAGATCTTTAACTAATCATCCATTTATTCTCCGGCTGTTAAGCACAGGCTTCTTGTTAGAATTCAGTTATATTTTTTTTCTGACAGCCTTTTGCTTGGCAAACACCTGTTTTCGAGGGCTTTGTGTCTTCACCATGAAGATATGCCCCAGTTCTTCGCCCAGCAGAGACGAGCTCAACCTCCGGCCATTTTTTTCCACCTGCAAATGCAGAAGTGGCACGGAATTGGTTCATGTCCACTAAAGCCAGAGCAGCATAAGAAGCTGGAGATACTTTTCGGTGTGCCACCTACCCGATTACAGCCCAGCCACTGGAAATTATATGTAATATTAGGTCAGAAGTCACTATTTTACTGTTTTGTCACTAATACGAGATCAGTGCCTGTGTGTGCTGGTAAATGGTGAAGGTACCACTGTTCACTGCCCAAACCCAAACCAGAAATTGTCTTTCTGCCTTTAAGTATAAACTATGTCAGGGTGAGTAACAAAATGTTCTTCCTTGAGAAGTTGATGTCAGTGTATGGGAGCTTCGTGGGTATGTTGAGCTGTGATAGCTCAATGCCAATAACATATTTGCATTTAATCTTGCAGGCTGGGAAAGAGATGCCAAATTCTCCTTGGTTTCTTTTTCAATGAGATTTTGGTCCCGAGGGAGTTCCAGCCTGTTGAGAAATTCCAGTCACACATTAAATTATTAAAGGTTTGAAGCTGGCGAAGTCGGTGGGAATTTGCTATAATGCTGCTCTGCGCCAAAGGCTCCAACAAGTGCCTAATCTGTCGGGTTTTTTCTAGCAGATGATTTTTTTTGCTTTTTTTTTGTGTCTAGCGTTACGTGCCTCGATGCCGTTTGCTTTAGGAAAGATTTCTGCAAGCGCAGACTCTGGGATGCTGCAGGGCGAAGGGGCTGTGCAGCCCAGCTGGAACACAGCGCGTGTCCTGTGCACATCCCTGCAGCAAACACCAACCCAATCTCCATGTTTGCAGCCTGTGGGCAGTGGAGGAAGGATAATACAGAGATCAGGGAATGAAAAATATTTCTTGCTTCAAGTAACGTAAGGGGGAAGGAGTCTGGGTTTTTGGATGAACACGTGCCGCTCGGAGCAATGTTCCTAGGGTGCTGCTCTGCCTCTTCTCCAACTGGTTATTTTTCTCCTATGAAAAGTTTTCCGACTTGCATCAGCCATCTGTCGACTTTAACTCCGCTCTGTTTTTTTTTTCCATCCTGCTTTAAATACTATGCTGGCAGTGAGGAAAGAGGCTGGGGAGATAACGGGTCACTCCACTGATGGCTCGTCTATTCCCAGCAGCGGTGTTTGCTGGTTGTGGTTCTGTAGTAGCGTGAAGGGTTTTTAGAAGCTGTCACTGTCACAAAGAGAACTACCTCACAGAGAGCCGTTTTGGGCGATATTTAACTTTGTAACATTGAGCAAATGACAAAGTTCAAAGTGGAAGGCCGTCCGTAACCTGCCTCTTACGGACCACGAAGTACGGAGGGGTCTCAGATGGATATTATTGCCATATGCTTAGCGGTTTCTATGCATGAGATTATAAATTAAGGTTGGGAGGAATTATTTTACATATAGATTTTCTGGCTATTGTTGGTTGACATAAAATTGTGACATGGTTTGTGCATACTCTGTGGTTTCCACATCTCTCTTAAAATCAGCTTCTGTCTTCGCGTTACAAACCACTAGGAGTATTTTTAATAAAAGATGGTGGATG